GGAAGACAGACAGGTATGGAAGAAGCCTCTAATTTAGCAAGCCAGGTCTGCCTTCAGAGAATTTGGTCCTTCTGTCTGAACAGAGACTACAAATTCACTTCTCAACCCTTGAGATGCCTCTGTTTGAAACCTCAATCTCTGCTCCACTAATATGTTGAACAGTTGGCAGCAGTGGCTCTACCACATGCATGACAGTACTGCTGCATCCATGCATAGAGCACAAAAGACCGTCACCAGGGTCTCTGTCTGAAAACTTACTCCTGTTGCATTCATGACCTGGTGCCAGTGTCTCTCTCTGACTGCAGGATTTTGCAACTCCACTATTGCCCTCAGTGATGGCATCAGGTTCTTCAGCTTTAACTCCAAGCCTCTAAATGCATTCCAGGAATGAACTTCTTTATCCAAAGACCACATTTCCTAGGAATAAGATTAAAATAATTGCATAAATTACTTGCTATTAACAGCCACCTTGTCGTTAACTTTAAGAAAAATTAGGAGGTTTGTCAGAAAGCTCTACTTTCCTGTTTCATGTGCAGATGTGTGGGATGGTTGTAGTTAGCATAAGACTAGGGAAGATTCTATTCGGGTCATTGGTTTATGCAGCAGATAAAGCAAAGGCTCTGGAAATGTATTTACCAGTATGGCACTTAAAGTAATGGAACTGTATTAACACTATATTTACACATTGATTTTATTATTACAGTTGGATCAGAGCCATTTGCTTTACCACAGCCCTGATGATTTAACTCTAATTTTCTTATTAATTATTTCACTGCAGACAAAAATATCTATAAATTTAATACATTCAAAACCATCTTTCAGAGGGGTAAGGGGGACTCATGCACACTGGAGCGTGATGAACATGACACAAGTGATCAGCATCTTCTCTGTTTCATGACCTGGCATATGTGCCACAGTGAATGACACAGAAGCAGAAGGAGAATGCAGTTCTCTCAACTCTGTCCTCTCTTTTACCACCCCTATCACAGCATGACAACCCCCAGTATCAGAACTGGCTATGTGGAGTCCATAATTTTGAAGCAATTTAAGTCAAGACATCTGCTTTAAGTCTGATTCTTCTCTTAAAGCACTACTAATTGGGCATGCAAGGAAACCTATTTATTTCTGAATGAAATAGACATGTAAAGAAGAAGAAACTTCATACCCATTGGGTTCAAGACTTTCTTCCTTCCATACTCAACAACTATACTGTCTATGAATCAGAACTATTCCTTAAGTGTCCCGCAAATAATCTGGGGGCCTTTGTTGCTATTTTTGCTTTATACTTCCCTTGTCCCACTGGAACTGTCTTCTGCAGAGCTACTATCAACAAAACATTGTGAATACTTCAAGCAAAGAAAGTGCTCTTCCTTTAAAAATGAGCATCTTTGCTGCAACTCCCAACACTCTGGAGCTACGTCTAAGAGATAAACCTCTGCAAACTCCATCTATGTCTAAAAATAGCGACTTTCATCTGGTGGACCCTGTCATAAAAACCCATCTTCTTCATTCTTTCACACAGTGCCTCTATTCAGAGAAGTGCTGGCATGGTTTTAACATGTACCTCCACAGGATCTGGAAACTTATTCAGAAGAACAAAGTTTTACAGAAAAGTCCCCAAAACAAAACATGTTACAGAACATTTAGTTTGGACATGAGTAACAAATCCACTGAAACATCAAAGTGGGTGGGAAGAGTGAGGACGGGGTGGCACCGAGACAGATAAATTGCAGAAAGAGACAACTACAGAACCTGCCTTGGCAAACCTTCTGAGCTCCACATCCATCTGTTCCACATTAATCTGCCTCCAATGGATTTTAGTCCAATGCTGCTCTGAAACAGAAAGTACAGATAAAAGTGTCAACAACATTTGGTAAAGACAAGCTTCTGCTATATAATAGATAAATGGACACAGGGGGGAAAGCTCATCACATGCAATGACTCCTGGACCTCATTTTTTCCAACTCAACACCACCACTACCTAGAAAGCATACAAAATAATCCATATTCTCAAATTTCAACCCAAAAGCCAAGCATTTAAACAGTTTCATACTTCAGTTTCTGACAGGTATACGTACATACCCTTCTTGTGCTATTAAACACACACCTATATCTACTGATAATATACAGGTGGACCTGGGAGGTGTGGTAGAAACTGCCCTGCACCCCCTCCTGGCAATACAAATACTAGGTAAACAATTATGGAAAGAAAATCTAGTACATATATTTCACCCTTGCCTACGAAAAACAACTTCTTGAGGTAAACAGAACTTTACAAGCCTGATTTCCCATACAGGTCTGTACACTGACTATTCTGGACTCTTGCTTCTGGCATTCTACAGCTTTAATGGACAATCCTCAGTTCTGAGGTGGAATTTTCTGGCTTTCTGAATTTTTACTCCATTATTTTAATTATTCAAGCAAGTTATTTGTATTTAAAAAGCTCAAGCTGAAACTACAAAGGCTGTTTTGCTTTGGGATTATCTTGAAACTGGTTAACTTCAGAACAGAGATATTTTAACTCTGAGTAACCTAAAACACAGCAACTATAATTAAAAAAAAAAAAAAAAAAAAAAAAAAAAAAAGAATATGAAAATCTTCAGTACTTTTAACTTTTTATTTCTAATTAAAACTACAAAAACATCTAGGATCAAATTTAAAGTATAACATTCATAATATATTCTAATCTTAGAATTAATTTTTAAAAAAATCTTACATTAATATAAACACTAATATCCCAAACTTTCTTAAGCAACTGCACTTCTTTTCTACATTGTTTCATTTGCTTGCAGTCTGGAATAGATACTTCAAATAGTTTTGCAGATTCCTGCATTAGTAACACTTCTTTTTCCAGCATCTTAAGCTCATGATTTGCCTCGACGAGGAAAAGAGCACTTTAATAAAGTACAGGTACAGGCTATATTGAGCTTACCTAAACCTGGCAGTGAAATCTATGGATTCCATATATATGATTCAACACAAGAAAAGCTGAGATCAATTATTGCAAAGAGGTTAAAAAGCTGCATTTTCATTGTCTCTCAAAGCACCCAGAAGGCATAAAAAGGGCTCTACATTGGAACCATAAAAAGAAAAGCTGCATAGAAACAGTTATTATACTCTTGCAATTAATTTCTTAAAGAATTTCTCCTTACTTTAAAGTTGTATAAATGTTAACAAAGTGTCTTCATGATGTTTTAAAAAGATCCACTAAATCTTCCACTTTAGACTACTGTATTCAAAAGCACATTATGCTGGCTTTTTAAAACAACATGAATAAAGAATATGAGCAAGTATTCTGAAACTTTTTATTTTATCAGTGAGCATATGCAACATTGGAAGAGAAACAAGAGGAAACCTAGATTTAGCGGTGCTAGAATTATACCAGCTTATTGAAAAATAAAACAAAGTGAAACAACCAAACCAAAACACAACCCACCCAAAAAATCCCCCAGAAACCCCAAAAACCAACAACCCTCCCCAAACCAAAAAATCCCAACACATAAGCCACAAATAATTTAGTATGTACATCAAAATATCATTAGATTTATAACTGTAAGATTACAAGCAAATACATTTTTCTGAGGTTCCCCATTACCTTGTCAAGATGAGCATATGCACTTTCTGCATCAAACTGAAAGGGGGCTTCCATTTTAAATCTTTCTCTGAATTCCATCTGCTTCTCCTGGTGAAACACAGGTAGTGACACCTGTCACTGATCATGTTCTCATTAAAAAATCAGAGATAAAAAAGACTGGTGACAGAATTCAACATACAACAAGTAAAGTGCATTTTCTTCTCATAACTGCAATCTCAGAGGCCTGAAGAGGCATTACTTTGTGCTTTACCGACACAGCTCTCTTCTTTACGGCACTCCATTTTTACAGGCAATTCCTATTTAACAGAGTAAAATTATCTTGGAGGGAAAATATGACACATGGCGGAAAAACATCAGTAAAATTGTATATTAACAGTGAGGATACTGCAAACACCTGCCTATGAATAAGAAATTATAGTGGAGCATTTATTTAATCATGAACTATGTCATAGTTTTTATTAGAATTTTTGTCAACTGGAAAATAATTAATTTTATAGATCACTGATAAACATAAACTACTTGAACTTAATAAAATCAGTTATTTTATGTATAATCACATAAAACTTCATTCAAAAATATATTGGGAATCTTCCACAGGGTAAAATAGAGAGCTCCACTCCTGCTGCTTTAACACATTTTCAAATATATAAAGCTGACCTGGAAATAGCTTTCTTTCTACAAATCTCCCCAAGTTCTCTAGAAAAAAACAGTCAGTAAACCACACACAAACATTTATCAGGATTGAAAAAACCCCAAACCAAAACAAACCTTGACAGGCTTTTTGTCTGTGTCAAAAGAAAGCACAAGAAAGAGAAGTATGAATCCAAGTCACGTCACAGTAACTAGAAAACTAGCTTCAGGTATACATCAGAAATTGTACATTTATTTTCCTAGTCAGCCCCTTGATCTGTTTTGGATCAGCTAGGCATAGAAATTACACTGTGGACTGGAAAACTCACTGCAATGGATGAAAAGTTTTCATTTGGATTAATTAGATTATCTGATTAAAAGCATTAGTTGAACTTCTATCCAATTCTATTTAGCACTATTTACAGTGTAGTGCATCTCCCAACACAGACCAGATAGAGGTCCCTCATCTGCAGGTGCTGATCTAAAGCCTTAGCTTGCTAAACTCTACTCTTAGTGTCAGCAGGGACCACTGCAGCTGTAGTGCTTTCTCACCTCTTCCTACCACTGAATTTTGTTTAATTCAGTTAATTCCCCCTCTTTCACTTGCCACCCAACACAATTATAGCTGGAACGGGTGTGGGGCAGCATATATACAGAAGCAAGTAGCTGAGATGTCTGAAAGACAGTATCACCTGACAGGCATCAAAGCCCAGCTTTTGTAACCGTCCTTGAACAGAGCCCGACTACTACTAACCGTGTTAAGGAGGGCGAAGCAACATAGAAACAAGAGTTTCCATATGGCTCAGCTCCTGGGAGGAGGCTTATGAAGGTGAACATGATTTGGTCAACAGTAAAAAAAACCAAACCAAAACCCACCCCAAAAATAGCAAAAAATAACTACAGACGTCATCAGAACAAAGTGTGACAGATGTAACAGATCTCTTTTTGAGCTAATTTTCCACCATTCACATAAAACAAATCTCTTAAAGAGCATAAGAAAATCTACCTGATTTTATTGCTGGCTTTTGAGAAGGAATGAGGAGAATTATTTTACATCCCTGAGATCAAATACTGCTATTTTAGGACCATATACACATATGTAAACATTAAATATTACTTTTGCTACAGTACCTCTAACTAGGCATAAAGTTCGCCTGGCATATTCTGTCCATAGCTTTCTAACAGTTCAACCACTTCTTTTAAAGGTTCAAAGAGTTCATCAGCAATTGTTGTCCTCTCTTTCACAGCCAAGAGATGGCCCATGATTTCTAACAGCATACAATAATTTCCCTCAGTCACCTCTCTTTGGAGTCCAGCATCTGTCACTTTTATAAATTCTTTTAAGTCAGTCAGACTACCAAAGAGAGAAAGTTGGGATTACAAACAGAGCAAACATTATTTACTAATAAACATGTAGTAACCCCTACTGGTACTTGTAGTGGCACTTATGCTGTTTTACAAAATAAATACTGTGGGGGGGAGGGGGAGGGGTGTGGTTTTTTGGTAGTGGGGGAAGGACCACCTTGT